ATTAAGTTTACCTAAATCGTTGAAAAAAAGCAAATCCCGAAAATTACGGGATTAAAGATACCTGCTTCAACACTAATTGAAGAAAAAAATGGATTCGAAACAACCATAAATAGGGGAAATTTCAACGGAAAAAAAGAAGAGGAGATAGGCAAAATTCACCAACAAGCAGGGGTTCTGATATGTCATTCGAAAGCTGTAAAATAGGGAGGATTTTGATCAACAGATGAAACCTGAGTGAAAACAGATTGTAAGGGTCGGTTCTTCAATAGAAAGAGGGGATCTTTCAAAAACAATTTGTAAGAGGGTCATTAATACAAAAGGGTCTCCTGGGATTTTGATTCAAAATCAATAAAATACCAATTTTCTTCCTTTGATTTTTCGTACAAGCAATTCCCCATTTTTATCAACAACCCGACAGCACAAAGCAAAGCATTTTTAAGGTAACAAATCATATTCATTTTTTAGTATAAGTTTTGAAACAAAACAGAATAGAAAGCAGAGGTAAAAAAAGAGGAAGCAAATATTACCTTGGAGTGGTCGGAGAGGAGTATGGCCACCACGACGTGGTGACCGACCGAGTGATGAACGAGCTGTGGATCTTGATGTACAGCCGCTGTTCGTGAAGAGAGTCAGAGAGGGGGAGAACGTCGCTGGGGAGAGTTTATGTTTAGTAAACACGGTTAGGGCAAATTCTCATCTAAAATAATATATATTAATTCATAAAAATAACAGTGTTTCAATAGTTGTAAAACCGTGTTTTGCATAGGGAGGGGTAAATCCTTTGGCTAATCCTTTGAGTTTCAAAGCATTCAACTCGGGTGTTTAAGTTTTTTATTTTCTGATTATAGCTCCTAAGTTTCATGTGAATTTCATTTAGGTCCCTAATTGTAGGTTTATATTTATAATTTTGTCTCTATATTTTATGCGCATTTAATTTCAGTCCCAAGCAGTTTTGTATTTAACTTTTATTGTTTAGACATTGGAACCTTAAATTGTTGTATGTCTTTTTTAGTCCTATGTTATGTTGTTTATAATTTCTTGTTGTTTTGACTTCTAGCCCGTAATTTTGTTAAATTACATTTTAATCCCATAGTATGTTCATTTTAATTCTTATGTTATTTGCACTATGTTCGGTTGCTTTTTGGTATATGCTATTTTTGTCCTTTGTGGTATAAATGTATATATATACATACATAGGTGGCATATTTTGGTCCATATGAAGCATATTTATATTTTTAAACTAAGACGTTATGGTGTGTAAAGTCATGTAAATTTATTTTAATTTAGTCCATTATTAGGATTGATTTCTTTAATTAGTTGCACGTAATGGTTTTGCATGTTGATATGTTTTGATATGTACAAGTATACGATTGATTTATTTGCAAATTGTATGACATTTTTACATGTATTTTGTATGAGATCCTCACGTGCATCACTCAACCTAATTACATAATCTGATTAATGGTAATATTCGAGCATTTTAATATTGTCGTAAAGTGACTGTCTTAACGGATAAGAAAGTTACTTTTGATAATTTTAAAATGAAAGTCTATCCTATAAGTGACACCAATTAAAACATATTCATTTTTAAAATTTGGGGACTGAGGAAAAGATCGTATTCTTTTAATTAAATTCATCGAGAAAAGACAGTTAGATCGAATCTATGGTCTCGTCTCTTGATATTTAATTAATTGAATACCCTTGTTCTCATTAAATATTGGTAAATAAATAATTAATCAATTGCTTGATAGTTTTTTTTTACTTTTACATGTGTTTTTAAAGGGTTTTCAAAATAATAATGTTCGATCATAAATAATTAAATATTATTATTTTATCTCTAAAAAATAGTTTGGGTGTTATTATTTTGAAATTTAGAATGAAATTTCAATATTTTTTTTATTTCGATTGGAGTAAGAATCGATTGCTTCAAGGTATGATAGATCATTTCTTCTCGATAGGAAATAATTAAATATTATTATTCTTTCATCCAAAATTTTGAAAAATATTATTTTAGGGGATCATAAATCAAATTAATTTTGAACTTATACATTTTATTACAAAGATAATTAATTAATCGACTAGGTACCGATTTAGGGCACTGTGGGGGTGCTAATCCTTCCCCACGTGTAACAGACTCCCGAACTCATTTTCTGGTAACACGGACCTAAATTTGTTGTTTTAATTAAAATTAATTTTTATTTAAAATGACAAAACGTTTTTGGGTGCCCAATCACACCTTAATCAAAGATTGGTGGTGACTCCTCGAACTGTATTTTTATCATAAAGGAATTTCCAAATTTTCGAAACGAGAGGTTTTTTAATCACATTCATTTTTAATTTAAATTTAATCTAAAGAGAATAATTAAAAACTGGTGTGGTTTCCAAAATCTCACCCGGGAAAAAACCGTTTCGACAGCTTGCACCCAAGACCTCAAGAAATAATTCTTTACCACTGAGGTCACTTGGTTTGTGCTCACCAACTATTCATATGTTTCGAACTTGTCCCTTTTTATTAAAAAAATGACGACAACTAGACATTAACATACTGACTCAGATATAATAAAATCATATTTTAATGATGTGTATTGGCTTGTCGTTGCTTTCAAACACTGACTTGATGACATAATATTTCAAACAATAAATATTGTCCCAACGACATAATGTAAATAGAGAGTTGATCCATAAAATACAACTCAAACAATTTTGAAATTAAATTTTATCATATTCAAGTCAACAAATTAACATCCAGCTGAGACGACCATCAATTTTTAACAGAAAATGATAAGTTTGAAACATATGAATAGTCGGGTAACTATTTTGTAACTTTTAATAAACGAATGAATAAAAAATAGAGTCCTAGAGTCAGAGGACTATTTTGTAACTTTTAATAGTTAGGGAACCCTAAATAGTAATCAAGACAAGGGTAAACTTTGTGATAGTCACCTTTGGTATTGGTCTTACCAACTTTGATCACCAATTTAAAAATTAAAGGTGCATGGTCCCTAACGTTATCGATCCATTTGAGTATGGTCTCTAACGTTATCTACCCGTTTGATTTAAAAAAGAAAATTTGTAGTTCACAAACCCATCGTCCACAACCAAAATCCATAAAACTCTAGAGGGATTAAACTCAACACCGTCTTCCATCCTTCACCCAATATTTCTTCTATATTGTTCTTCCTTCCTCCAAGTTTCTAAATCTCTTTGTCTTCCTCTCGATATGTTTTCAATGCTCTTTACTTTTTTTTTTTTGTATAACAGGTCTTCTTTTTCTGATCTCTTCCATTGTTAATTTTATTTATCAATATTTTGTTAGTGACAACTATAGAAAAGCGTTGTGACAGTATCATTGTCATTGATGAAGAAGATATCATGATCGCTAATATCATGTTGGAGCTCTCCTAATCTGAGTCACGCCGTTGCTTAGCCTTCACTTGGGGCTCCAAGGGGTAGATATCTACTTCTTCGAAATCAAGGTTTGTTGTCGTCGCATCTTTGTTTATCGCCCATTCTCATCAACATCAGAAGGAGACTATTGCTGGGGTGGCTTATATCGTACAACCATGTATATATATATATATATATATATATATATAAAAGAGTCATAGAGTGAGGAAGTTGTCGTTATAAAAGCATGGAAATGACTAGTGTTGTGGGTGGAGTTTTAATTATTAATGTAGTAGGTTGTTAATGGAATATCAAAGGCGATTCATTGGGCGTCGTAGCTATTTGAGCTCTTACATGTTGCGAACATGAAGGTTTTTTCAATGCCGAGTCGGCAACAATTGGCGGCAAGGGAATTGATGGGAATGGGCGATGAGGACTGAAGAAGAGATGGGTTGACGTTGTACCTTTTCTGGAAGAAGAAAACTTACAGAATGATGAGTTGAGAGTAACTCGACGAGATTCTCCAAACTTTGGAGGTTTAGAGAGATTTGAAGCTCCCATGTAGTAGCAACGGAAAAGACGTGTTCGTCTTCTTAAATCATCCCATGTCTTCTTCTTCGTCGTCGTAAAACAGTGTCGCCTTGAGATCATAAAATATTTATATTAAAAACTGAACACAAAGGGAAGGGGCTAACATACTGTGTTATTTAGAAGAAGAAGACAGGAACGTGGATTCTTTTTAAAAAAATTTAATTGTTACCAGTGCTTGCGGTTATATTTTCGGTCGTATCGTGTTTATCACGGTTGTAAATATAACGGATGTTATTGCAGTTATTGCGGATATCGCGATCGTGAATTTTTTCTCAAGAGCTGATTTTTTTAATAAAAAACCTTTTTTTAATTAAAATAGAGAAATAATAGCATAATAGCGGTACGTTATTGCCGCAATTGGCTGCGATCCGCCGCTATTGGTGTGATCTCTGTTCATACCGTTATTTTTTGCGATAGCGGTTTCGGACACCGCCGCGATAGCGATATAACGGCCGCGATACCACTATTCGGCTGCTATTTGAAACCCTGATTATCACATAATACTTCAGTTGACAGGTTAAAGAGAGTTAATAGTTGAAGAACTAAAATTGAACAGATCAATAATATTAAGGACTATGTACCCTAAATTTTTAAATTGGTGATTAAAATCGGTCGGATCGAAAACAAATGAGACTAATGGTATAATTTATCTTGTATTAAATCACTTAATTTTAAATAAATTATTTTATTATTAAATAATAATCATGAAAAAACATGTCTAAAGCGGCCCTTTCATTAAGTAGGGGAATCTTGGCACCCGATGTTTGGGGAAACTTGACATATACCCCTTAAATGTTTAAGAAATGTGAACTAGATCCCTTAAAATTTGCTTAAATTTTTATATATTTTTAATTAACCTCCTCGAAATTGTTAAAAAACCATTAAATCTCCCATAATTTTAAAAATTATAATTAGGCCCTCTATTTTATAATATTATTTGAGATAAATGTTAAGCTATTTCTTATTTTATTTTCATTTTAACCCTCACAATTTTATAATAACATGATTATATTGACAAGCCGCTAAAATCTGTCAACTATCCTCATTACTGCATTGGAAAGTTCTTTATAAACCCTCATATCATAAACCATGGCAGGAATCGTAAGCATATGATTCTCTAAAATTCTTCGGCACTTCACCTCTCGAACAAGCGCCTGCCTCACGAGACTATTCGTCCCGTCGTAATCTTTGTTCATCAGCCGACCCGTCGCGTTGGTCAGATCGACCTGCGATTCGGAAAACCCGGCCGCGCAGTTCAAAAACATCTGTTTCGCTTCCTCTGTGAACCGGTACGTAGTTAAGTGCGCCATGTTGGCCGATTGGACCCCAGCACTATGGTTTAGACAAGATAGGACGATAGCCGCGATGCCTATTTTATCGGCCGATTCGCCTCGGGGGTCGGATTTTACGCACCGAATGCAGGTCGCGGGCACATCTACATTGTAGCATTCGGATTGGATCAGGGCTTCGTCGGCGGAAACTAGGTTTCGATGTCCGACATGGTCGAAGGAGATCGAAAGAAGAAAAACAATGAGAGTGTAAAGAGGCAAAGCAATTCCCATTGATGCTTTTTGTCACGTTCATATGAAGCTCTATTGATATTAGTATTTATATAGAGAGAGAGGGGATGGGTCCACTAATGAATTTTATATATTTTGGTAAGTTATTTTTATGGTAATATATTAACTATTTCCTCTTAAAATAGTGGATTGATAAATAATTAACTAATAATATATGCCTTAATTAATTTCATTAGATGCTTATTTATTTTCAAGTATCTCTATATGTGGGGTTGCACCAATCCAAATAGTGATAGGCCTAAAATTACAGTTACGCTCTTAAATTCAGATTTCATGCTTCATAAGTATTAATTATAGCAACTAATGTAATTAAGGGTGAACTATATGGATGGTCACTTATGTTTATGTTTTGTCCACTTTTGGTCAATGATTTCAAAAAACATAAGATATGGTCACTTTCGTTTTTATTTAATTAAGACGTGGTCTTCCCGAGTTAACCGCCGTTAACATTAGTTAAATATTTTGATATAATCACACATTTGGTCCCTATTATTTACATATTCTCTCAATTTAATCATACTTTTAATAAATTAAAATAAATTTAATTCTTCAATCGAATGATACCACATTTCATGTCACGTAGAGGTGTTCAAAAATACTCGATCTGATTGACATAACCCATCGACCCGCCTATACAGTTAAAAATATTGGGTATTTATAATAAAAATACCTTATTTTTTAGGTCGGGTACCTGGCATGCTATTTTTTTGGGGTTTCTAGGTCGGGCCTGGAGTCAAAAAATGTTGGTTAATCGGGTACACACCGACACGATACCCAATTTATTATATATTTTTTATTTTTATTGTATATTAATTCTTTTATCCACATTTCTCAAACTATTTCACTATACCATTCTAAAATCCTATTTTTTTTAAAAAATTTTTGATATTGTAACATTCTAAATTCTTAGTTTCTTAAATTATTTCACATTAGTGTTCTAAATTATTTTTTAAAATATTTATTTTAAATTCGAAACATTCGAAATTTAATTACATTTCTTTATTTTAATTTTTAATAAATTTTATTTCATTTATGTAATTTGAATTTTTAAAATTTATGTGTGGATTATATGTATTATATACTTTTAATTTTTATAATTTTTCTATATATATTTAAATAATAATAATTTAAATAATGAATAAAAATATTATGAACCGGATACCCGTGACCTATATTATATATAATATAATTTTATATATATTAACTTAAAAATATTTTTATATTAACTTATTAAATATATTTTATTATTAACTTAATTTAAAAATATATTATTTTATTTTCATTTAAAAATATATAATTTATTTGAATTTATTAAAAGTATGACTAAATTGAGAGAATATGTAAATATCAGGGACCAAATGTGTGATTATATAAAAATATTTAACTGTTGTTAACGATAGTTAACTCGGGATGGCCAAATCTTGATTAAATAAAAACGAAAGTGACCATATCTTAATTAAATAAAAATGAAAGTGATTGTATCTTATGTTTTTTGAAATCAATGACCAAAAGTGGACAAAAGACAAACATAAGTGATCATCTGTGTAGTTAACCCTTTAATTAAACTCTTTCTTTAGACTTAAATTCATTTTCACTTGATATATATATTACTTATATGATACTGAAAACTAACTTAAATACGATATGAATTAGAGCTGAACTATGAAATCAAGATAATTAAAAAATTGAATCGAATTATGCGATTCAATTCGATTAATTTTTTTTTATTTTGCAGATAATATGTATGACGAAAGTAACTATAAGGTCCCTTTTTTAGAGGATTACATTAAATCAGAACCGTTTATTATAAGTTATATATCAAATTAGTCGCTTTATTAACAAATAGATCAATTTACTTTATTAGAAGGACTAATTTGAATTAGTTCATCCACTATTAAGTACATCAATTTAGATTAATAATGAAACTAATAAAGCAATTGAAAGGACTTCAATTCGATGTCAATATTTGTATGTCAATATCCCAGCCAACTTGTTGACGTCCATCTCAGACGATCATCAATTTTTTTTTAACAAAAACGGACATGTTAGGAACATGTGAATAGTTGGGTGACCATTTTGTAACTTTTTAATAGTTGAGGACTCCAAAACAATGACCTATAGCCAAAGGACCATTTTATAACCTTTAATAGTTAGGGGACTCAACAAAGCATCACCTTATAGTCGGGGTCTATTTGTGTACTTTATCCTTTTTAGATAAAAATAATTATTAATCCTTATTTAGTGTTTTAAATTTACGTACTAAACGCGTTAAGTTTTTAACAATGAGTACTTGAATGAAACGAAAATTAAACGTTAGACATGATTTTGGAAAAATGAAAGTCTATGTACTGAAACGGACCAAAACTGATAGTTTAAGTAATAAATGAATAGTTTACCCAATATTAAAAGATTATTTGGGACAAATATTAAGCTTTTTCTTATTTTTATTTTCATTTTAACCCTCACAAATTTGTAATAACACGATTACATCAACGAGCTGCTAAAACCTATCAACTATCCTCATTACTGCATTGGAAAGTTCTTCATAAACCCTCATATCATAAACCATGGCAGCATAAGTAAGCTGGCGATCCTCCAAAATTCTCCTGCACTTCACCTCTCGTACAAGCGCCTGTTTTACGAGACTGTTCGTTCCGTTGTAATCTTCATTCATCAGCTGATCCGTCGCGTTGACCAGATCCACCTGCGCTTCGAAAAATCCAGTCGCACAGTTCAGTAACATCTGTTTCGCGTCCTTTTCGAACGTGTACATAGCTAAGTCCGTCATGTTGGCCGATTGGACCCCGGCACTATGGCTTAGACAAGATAGGATGATGGCCGCGATGCCTATTTTATTGGCCGACTCGCTCCGGGGGTTGGATTTTACGCACCGGATGCAAGTTGTGGGGACATCCGCGTTGTGGCATTCGGATTGGATCAGGGCTTCGTCGGCGGAAACTAGGTTTCGATGTCCGCCGTGGTCGAAGGAGATCGAAAGAAGAAAAAGAAAGAGAGTATAAAGAGGCAAAGCAATTCTCATTGATGCTTTTGTCAAGTTCACATGAAGCTCTATTGATATTAGCATCAATATATAGAGAGGGGATGGGTCCACTTATGAATTTTATATATTTTGGTAAGGTTTTTTCATGGTAATATATTAAGTTTTTCTCTCTCTTAAAACAGTGCATTATTAAATAATTAACTAATAATATATACCTTAATTAATGTCATTATATGCTGATTTATTTTCAAGTATATCTATATGCTCTTTTATAAACACGATTAAAATTTTATTTAATTGTTACAATATAATTTTAAAAATACGAGTGAAAGAAATTATTGACCAGCAAGTTGCACTTCGCTCAAGTTGACAGAAGGTTCGTATCTTGAAGAGCATCTGACCGTATTCAAGGAAATTGTTTATGATCTAGAGACTTTAAAAGTGAAGTATGATCAAGAAGGCTTAGGATTGATCCTCCTATGTTCGATGCCTCCTTACTACTCGTCTTTCAGAGATACAATCTTGTACAGTCACGAAACACTCACTATTGAAGAAGTTTACAATGACTTGCACTCGTTTGACAAGATGAAACATCTTGTATTTGGTTATGAGCCACAGGAAGATGGTCTCATGATGCATGAATTGACTAACTCAGACAGTGGAAGAAAAGGCGAGCGTTCTTCTGATAATATTGGAAGGGGTAGATCAAAATCTTCCAACCAAGGTAAAACTTGTCACTATAAAAGCAGAACTCTGGGAAATCTGGTGAGGTCAGTATAGTAGAGGAGTACGATGACGGAGAACTCCTAGTTGCGGATGACGACAACTTTATAACAAGTGATGAGTGGATACTTGACTATGATAGTAGTTTTCATATGAGTCCTAATCGTGACTGGTTTGCGACGTATGAAGTTGTTTCTACAGGTGATGTATTTTTGGGAAATAATGTCCCTTGTAAAGTCGCAGGTATTGGCACAATCAAGATTAAGATGTTCGATGGGATTGTTCGAACACTTGGTAATGTGAGACATGTTCCAGATTTGAGTATAAATCTAATTTCGTTAGGTAGTCTAGATTCAAAAGGGTACAAATTCTCCAGTGAAGGTGGAACTATGAAAAATTATGAGGACTCTCTAGTTGTGTTGAAAGGGCAGAGAAAGACTATCAAGTTTTATGTTTTATAGGGTTCAACAGTTTTAGATAATGCAATTGGTGTTTCATCCACCGTATCAAATAATGTTGTTGAACAAAATAACCGTGGTCAGAACTGTTATGTGAAGCATAAAGGAGTTCAATTTCATGAACATAATGAATTTGAAAATAGAACTATCATTGATGATCGGGATCGTGTTGTGCATGATATTGCTTGTGGTGAAACATTTGTGAGAAAATTTGACACTTGTGATAATCATGTCGATGTGAAGACTAAATTTAAGCCTAAAAAAGCTTGGATTCGGTCGGTGTCCATTACTGAAGATTACCCCTTTGAGGGGTGTTATGGAAGAGGTGAAAAACTTGTTCGTTGAAGTGAAGAATTGTTTTTTGTTGAGTTTGGGGGTCACATCGAATTTGGGTGTTTTGTCTCGAAACCTTTGCACTTTTAGAATTCGTGTCAAGGTGGAGATTTGTTAGAGTTTGACTTGAATTCAAATTAGCACAAATTAATGAATATATAAATATTGAGAAAGTAGGAAACCCAATTTAATTAAAAGTAGAAAACTTTGTTGAAGTATATTTACAGATTATACATACCCAATTTATTATTGAATTTTATGTTTATTTACATGGAATTATTCATTTCGAATTGAATATGTTAGCGTCGTTTAAGAATTTATTTTGGGATCTAGGATATTTGTTTCAGTGGATGTGATGAATTTTATAAAATATATTAAAAAATTGAAACTCGTCACGTCTCATACAATTTTATTCCATTTCATACGACGAGTTTCAATTTTTTTCATATATTTTATGGAACTCATGATTATTCCCAAAATTTCTTCCACTCAGAACTATAAATTAAGTTTTACTAGTAATTATGTCAAAAAATATTATTAATTCTTATAATATGTATAAATTATATATTTAATCATATTTTTAAATTTGATTATTATAAACTATCATAATTTAATTATATTAATATTTTTTTATCTAGATTAAGGTCAAAATTTTAAAGAAAAAAATCAATACATGAATTAAATCATAATTAATATAATAATATAAGGTAAACTAAGTGTTTAATACATAAACTATTAGTTTTGGTTCTTTTAGTACTTAACTTTTAATTTTTTTAAAATTATACCTAAAATTTAATTATTGTTTCATTTTAGTATCACTGTTCAAATTTTAATATTAAGTTTTAAAAGAAATTAAATGATTAAGTACTACAACGAACTAAAATTGATAGTTTAGATAATACTCACATTAAGTTTTTTAACAATAAATATTAAAATGAAATAAATATTAAATATTAAATATAATTTTAAAAAATTAAATATTTAAATACCAAACGAACGAATTAATAGTGTAATTACTAAATAGGTATCAACTAATAACCCAAAAAAATGTACTTGTAAACTAGCTGAATAATCTCTTCTAAGCCCAAATCTAACAAAGCAGGGCCTATGATGATCATCTTCAATTGATGAACGAAAGAATTCTGGCAATTCGCTGCTGTTTTCCCGAGAAAATTCAATCTTCCCTAACCCTCTTTCACTGCTTGACGGTCGCAATGTTAGCCATTTCAGCTTTCAATTAACCACCTCGCTTCGATCAATCAAAGGCAAGAACTTTAGTTTCCCCTAAATTGGGAAGTGTAAATTTCGTGGCTTGATCTTTGATGCTTACTTATTTCATTTAATTTTTGTTTGGTTTTATGGATTGGGTTTTATTTTGTTTTCCCTTTAATTTTAAAATTTTAAATTCTAATGCAAGTTCATTTCTCTTTTTGCCTTCCTTTCATTGTAAATGTTATTTAGGATTGCATGTGATAGATGGGATTACTTTATTTTATTTTTTAATTTGCAGAATCGGTTGGAGTTTTAGAATTATATAATTAAGTTCTGAGAAGTGAAGTTCTTGTAATGTTCTCAAATTCATTGTGAAATTTATCCTGCAAATTGGTGTAAAAATAAACTTAGTTTATTATAGCTGCAATGTCGGAAATCTATGTCAATATATTTTCCAATGATTATTCAATATGGAATTTCGAAATGAGTAAAGCATTTTCATGCTCTTTTCTATATTCATCTTTTGGATACCATGACTGTTTTTGTTTCTTCAGCCTACTCGTAGGAAGCAAATTGAGTCAATAACCTAGTTTCAACCGGTGTTGGAACTTGTTATATTTGATTTTTTGAATCATTTTGCTTGTTCATTTCGGATAATGTTTCAACGGACGATTTTCATCCTTTCTAGGACTTCGAATTCACAGTTTTTTCCCCCCATGTAATGGGGTATGCAGTCTAAGAAATGCTTTTAGTTGATTATTGTTGCCAATGCTGAACTGTCTGGAATAACTTTCGGTGCTTCTAATTGTTTGTGGTACCATATCTTTCTCCACACTCTTAAAATGTTTGGTTTTATGGTAGTTAAATTTGTCTTAATTTACGTTCTATTTCCTGTTGAAGGATGATAGTTGATGTCTTAATGCTTAAGACCCTTGACTTATACTGATTTTGATTTTTTTTATTGATAGGTCATTACTATTTATTGAAACTTACTTAATTGGTGAGCTGAAAGATTTTAATGGCAGGCAATGGCCTGCCATCTCTGGGTCGTGTGAAGCTTACCGATCTCGTACCTTCTGAAGGTCTTCCTTCAGACTCTTACAAGCTATCAGGCTCAACTTTATCACAATCTCTTGCTCAATATTCGGCTGCCATCATTCAGTTTCCGGCATGTGATGGCGCTCTTTTGAGATCCGGTTTAGATTCTGCCCACCTTTACTTCCAACAAAAGGCAGCATTCCCATCCCCAGAGTTGATTCATGCCAATGATTCTCCTGAGTGGTGCAAAACATCTGGTTACTATGCTGATCCCCAACAATGGCTAGAAACATATGATTATCGACCTGGCATAACTCCTGCAGAGCCCAGCAACGGAATGGAGTTTCCCCCAGGTGGTTTGTCTGACATATTTGGCTTGCTTGGTAAGGCAGCTCGAGATGTACTGGATGCGATCAGCTATTACTTGAACTTGCGTAGCTCTCCTTTTACAGAAATACTCGATAATGTACCCTTAAGAAGCCGGGAAATATCTTCTTCAGTATTATCTGTGTGCTGTCATGGAAGGCCTTCTTTTCCTGGGGCACAACACCACAATTTAACAACACAGGATGATAGTCAAATGATCATGTTCCCTGACCATGAGCACCAGGTCGATAAAAGCTTAATATCCATTGTTAAGCCTGATAAGGCAGGTTATTTTCATGGTCAGTGGGTTCTCGTTGATGGGGACCTTGGTCCCCAAGAAGCTGTTGTATATCCTGGACTTGCACTTTACCAAGCAACTGCAGGTTACGTAAATCCTGGACTCCATCGGACCGAGATTAATAATATGCCGGGTAACATATATGGAAGATGCTCATTGGTTTTTAAACTCATGCCAAAATCTATGACAAGTCTCAGTTGTTCAGAGATGAGAGCTGCTGGTCATGGGGTTGAAGCTCAGTTCCAGCTTCCCATACCGGTGGATGACTTCATGCAGAGATCTCATCCGGAAGATCAGCTCTTTAATCGAAACACTTTCCAGAGTTTCAGTTTCCGGACAGCCCAAGATGGTAAGCAGTATTTCTTAATACGTTCAGCATTATTTCTCATAGTTATATGTTGCATGGACTTGGTTGTGTCAGCGTCAGATACAATGTTGTGTCCTATATGCATTTGTTCAGATTTTATTGATCAAATCTCCTTGTAATCCTTTTACCCTCCCCAATTAGGCTAGCAGACTATTATATCGATAGTTTATCGCTATAGATATCCTTAAGAGTTAAGAGTGGATTGAAATGCTTGAACTTCTTATTTTTTCAAATTTGTCTACTA